CTCTACTCATTCTCTGAGTTAGCCACTCTCAAGCCAAAAGCCCTTACCAAAGCTTTCGCCTTGCAATTACCAGTATCACAAGTGAGTACTGGGATTAGGGTTTAGAGTAGGGTCAAGGGCGATACCTTGACACTCCCATTGTAGGTGAACACCACCCAGGGTCAGGAGCAGATAGCAGCATATCTACCATATCAGTCACTCTCGAAAATGAGGTTGGAGACAATAGAAGGGATGTGGATGCAGAGCATTGAGCCATTGACCTTGATACTTACTTCAGGGCTCTTGATGAAAACAGCAGATTTCCTGAGGCATTGCTTGCATTGGAGACTGCAGAAGACCTGGAGCTGGATGAATATGGTATGTATTGACAGGTATATACACAATTCATGGTTATTTCGAGGGGAAGAAATATATATGAAGCTTGAGCTGCTCTGTGTACGTTCAAGAGAGAACGCGACGATTTCACTAAGTCCTTTTTCTCACGCCTCGAAGTACAATCCACGGTCGAGTTAGCCCAGTCGTTAGAACGTGTTCTTCATTTTCGCACTCAGAATCTCCTTTTTAGCAAGAATCAACGAAAACGGTAAGAGCATGTTCTAAGTCCGACTGGCCTGCGAGTCCAGGCGTGTAGATCGGCTTCGGATCGGCTCGAGGCGGGTTCTAAAATTGCCTGATCAATGTGCGAAATCCCATTATCATTATTGCCAAGGGCAGTAAGTAACCATGGTTCATGATGTCTCATCTATCGACGACGTCACGAAACGCTGTTTCAGGTGCTCGTCTTACCCGGAGACACGTTTCTGCGCTGTGCTGGTGCGATGAATAGAGATCCTGCAGCGCTGACTCAGTCTTTTACTACTGTTTTCTAGTTCATACTCAGAGTCATCTCAGTATGGACGAGAACGCTGTTCTATACGTTGCGCTTTCCTTGGTTCTTCTTTGTATTACAACATACTTGCTCGGGTCGGAAGGCAGACGGGTATGTATTATTGATTATCATTCACTGAGTGCGAATGCATTGAAAATATTATGCACACGTAGTTAAGTCACATACCAACCGTTGGAGGATCTTCTTTGCCTCTGTTATCTTATGTTGGCGCATTCAGAACACTCCTCTATTCCAAAGATGTGCTGCAAGAGGGTTATTCCAAGGTATGTGGAACCTCCTGTTTCTGCCTTGATCTGTGCTCGAATGGTACCTCTATCAAGTACAAAGGAGGTGTTTTCAAGATCGCTGAGCTTAACTGTTGGATTGTCCTTGTGACCGGGTCCGAGTTAGTGGAAGAATTGCGCAAGGTGCCGGACAGCATTTTGTCGTTTCCAGTCGCTCTCCAAGAGGTGTGTTCCAAGATCATTGTTTCTGCACGGCTACCCAACTTTACGTAAATCGCCAGCTTATCCAAGAAGAATACACCTTAGGGCGAGGGCTGGCGTCCAGTATATATCATATCCCGCTCCTCATCACTCGAGTTACTCGCCATCTTGCGGAACTCTTCCCCAACATCCACGATGAAATTGTCACGGCTTTTAATGACGAACTTAGTCTCACCAAAGAAGGTATGATTTTGTACTGTTCTTCTATGGAGTACACTCGCAGGGCTTACATGTGAACATCCGCTTTGTGATCCGGTACTTATAGATCAATGGACGCCGGTCCCAGCGAACAAGATGTTGACGGAAGTGGTCTGTCGAGTGACCAATCGTCTGTTCGTTGGGTTGCCACTATGTATGTTTTCCCTTTCGATCTGCTTCGGAAGATCATGCTGAATTCAATGCTTCTCTGTCGTCCCTTCCACGACTTTGACCAGCCAGGCAGAAATAGAGACTTTTGCGAGCTGAACAAGTCATTCACCATTGACTTGATGGTCGGCGCCACGATTGTCAGGATGTTTCCAGAATTTCTCAGACCGTGCGTTTCCACTTTTGCATATACCATCGCCCAGCTAATATTCATACATATTGCACTACATTTTAGGCTTGCCACACGTCTCCTTCTAAGCGTTTCCAAGAGTGTTGCCCGCGGTCATGAACTTCTCGATCCGATACTGAATGAGAGGCTGCGACTCGCGAAGGAGTTGGGCGACGACTGGATCGACAAACCTGTGTGTCTTATTGCTGACGTGTGAAGCGCTTTGCTCTGACCAACCCTGATAGAAAGATCTCCTGCAATGGCTCATTGACGCAAGACCTTCAGACGTGCCACTTACTACAGTGCCTCTTCGTGTTCTCATCTTGAATGTCGCAGCCATTCATACCTCATCTATGGTGTGTTTATGCCTTTCCTAGGTAAAGGACAATTGTCGGCTGACTGACATTGGATTGTTTCATGAATTTTGCGTTCAGACCCTCACGCTTGCGCTGTACTATCTTGCTGTGCACCCTGAGTATGTTAAGGTGCTCCGAGACGAAGTCGAAACGGTAGCGCGGACGCATGAATGGACCAAAGACGCTGTAGATCGCTTGGACAAGATGGACAGTTTCCTGAAGGAGCTCATGCGATTCGAAGGACTCAGTACTCGTACGCGGGATCGATTACAGGTCTCTATTGCTGTTCACCGAAAGATTTGATTTTCATCTGGCAGGCTCGATGATTCGAACAGCGCTGAAGGACCACACACTTTCAAACGGCACTTTCATCCCAGCAGGGACGCGCCTCATGACTACTGCGAGAGCGATACACCATGACGAGAATATATATGCAGATCCAGATGTGTTCAACCCGTGGCGGTTCTCCAACATGCGTAATGCGGGCGAGACAGCTAAGTTCGTCAACACAAGCTCGGAATACTTGGCGTTTGCGTATGGGCGACATGCATGGTGGGACGCTTCTTTGCGATATTGTTGTTGTGTCGGCTGACCATGTGCTTGCCTGCCGCTGGGTGTGTATTGCCTCTATGCAGTCCCGGCCGGTTCTTCGCGTCAACAGAGCTGAAGGAAGTGCTTTCGCATCTCGTGGTGAACTACGAGATGAAGATGGAGAAGGAGGCTGTAGTTCCTCCTTCCTCCTTCGTCGGCTATTCATTAATTCCTGACTTGAAGGCTAACGTCATGTTTCGGAGGAGAGGACGGAATGCTAACTAAGCTCAGCCGCCTAAATGACATGATGGCGGCCAAAAGCTTGACGCGTAAGATCAACTTGGCATTGGATGAAGAACGGTCCGTACTAACAGCCTCTGGGGAGAGCTTTGCCAGAAACCGTACCCTGGTATATGGTATATGCATAAATTCCATATGAATACAACCATTACAAAATATAAACAACAAATGTCCAATGTCCTTGCCGTTTTTCGGCTCTATAACAAACATACATGTCCTCTATAGTTAGTGCGTAGAATCTCATCCCAGACTGAGATAGTGCATAGAAAGTACGATCGACAGATACTTCAACAGTCACGCATTACACCCACAATACGGCCTGGCTGTGGTCGTCATTTTGCGGTACAGGTTCTACGTTCGCCTTCTGGCCCTGAGCATCATTCAGTCAGCACGCGAAGGACGCAGACGAGTCCTCACTCACAGCCTGTGGGGAGAGCTTCGCCAAAAGCCCCCGGACGATATGCCCAATGCCGTGCCCCTCGCACGACTCGAGCTCCGTCGTGAACTGCGCATGGCCGCCAGGCAGGCGGAAGACAGGTCCCGACGCCGTCGCCTTCCGAGCAGCGACAAGCACACGCACAAGCACGTCAGCACACACGCCCAAACGAAGATGCACAGCGGCGACATACGCATACGCCCGAGCGCAACGTGCGCATCTCGCACAGCGTCCCGTTCTTGCACGCCCCGACGCACGGCCTGCGCACGAATTCACGCCCGCGCGGCTTGTGCGCGATGTACGCCTGGAACGCACTGTCGTTCTTGTAGAAGACCTCCGTCAAATTGTGCCAGAACGCCGGGCTGAGCGACGCGTTGGGCGCGAGCGCAGGGACCAGCGCACCGTACGAGTCGCGCGCGCTATACAGCAGCTCCCAGGTCGCTAAGGGCGCAGCGGTAAGCTCGCACGCCAATGATCAAACGTGATAAGAGGGACGCTCACGGTGTAGGTGATAGTTGGGGTCGGACACGTTCGCTGAAGAGGGATACGTCAAAGCGCACACAGGTCTGCATGCAGCGTCACTTACTTATGTACGTCCGCGCATCCATTATTTCGTACGTGTCCGGGTCGATGTCGTACATCTTGAACGCGGGATTTCCACCTGCAGCGAAGCCTACATGAGACTCACGATGAACGACATAGAACCGCGGAACGGACTCATAGGAGTGAGCGCGGGCCCAATCATGGCGATGCTCATTGCCGTGGCGGCGCTTCTATCGCTGTAGTTCGAATAGCCAATTGCGAATTCGTCCTAGAACAAATCGAAGTACATCAACTGTCACATGTAGTCTGTGGTCCGCGTGCAAGTGAGACGTACAGCATGAGTGTGACCATAGAACTGGCCTGCGATTGTGTTCTTGTAGCGCTGGATGACTTGGTCGAAGTATGACGACTACAGAAACGATCCAGGTGGACTCGAGCCCTGATTTCGAAGTGCAAGCTGCTCACCTGATCGTGCGCTACGTCTCCCCTTCCCGGGGGCATATGGGCAATGATCCAAGCACGTTGACCTGCATCCTCCGCCGCCTGAAGCTCCTGCACGAGGAAGGCCAGGATTCCGTTCGGATCGGGCCTGTACAAGTGCATCGGTCACCGGGGTGATACCAAACATAACGAGCACACAGTACACGTACTGCAGGTCGTCGCTATCGTACAACCAGAAACTGAAGCATGGTCAGAGACGCGGGTGAGCATATTCGCTGCAGGCACGTACTTTTGCTTGTACCAATACTGTGTGTTCACAGAAATAATACTAGAAGGAGTCAGATCGAGTCATGGCGTCGCAGTATCGAACAAAAAGCCTACCGCAGATTTGTCCCAGGCGCCATCGCGGCATAACTTCCAGAATGGTGCCGAATTTGGTCAGTAGCTTCCTCACCAATCCATTGCTGCACGGGTGTGTCAGAGCGGAACGGTACGTCGACGCATATGGCGACCTACAGCCCAGCTCGCACGCTGTGCATTGAAGACCCACTCGGAGTTTATCTCGTGCTCAGTGGTGTTGCGCGGGAAGCTGTTCGTCGGTGCCGATTCGCTGCGTGTGGAGATGAGACGTCAGGTATATACCTGCACGGACTGGTACGTACTGGTTACCTTGGGTCCGAACTCAGCAAAAAAAACATACAAACACGAGGAGTGAGCGCACCGAGGGCGGGGAACAACGGCGCATTCAGCCTTGCGGCCATTTGATCGCTGAACGTTTGCATGTCGCGCGAGACACCGCTGCACGACATACGGAGTGAGCGACCAACATGGCTCTACAAACGATCTACGTGTCTCACACTTCGCTCACTTCCCAAACGGCATCTGGGAGCAGTACGAGGTAGCTCACTTAGTACTGGCATTGCGAGGCACGAGAATAGGCGTACGATCAATGACGTCTCCCGTGAAGAGCGAGAACCGTGCGTCGGCGCCGAAGCGCTCCACCGCCTGCAGCATCGAGTCCACCAGCTTCGTCGGAGTGTCGCAGTGCCTGTTTCCGAGGGGCAGCGCAGGTGCGTTGACGTGTTTGGGTCTCCCGTCGTAGTCGCGGCAGCATATCGGCTTGGTGCAATTAGCTTCTGCGCCGACCTGTGGGAGCAGTCATCAGCATATAACGCATATAGCGAATTGAAAGGGGGTATATGTTGTGCAGCCGTATATTGACAGCCACGATCAAGATGTCTGCCCCAGTCCGCCGACACCGCAGAGTGCCAGTCGTCTCATCTCGGCAATCCGAAGGCGTGCGCACTCACCGTGTACTGTCTGTCGATGTGCACGTCGCTGAAGTGCATAACACGGAACGGCGGCCGCCCCGCCGAGCGGAAGCGTGCCGGACGCTCCGGCGGGGGGCGGGGGAACGGGACGGTGTACTCGTTCACGGGGGGCGGGGTGCACATCCCAAAGACGGCGTCGCAGAACCGGGTCGCGGTCTGGCCGCCGAGGGCAAAGTGGCGCAGGTCGTGCGCGAGGATTGGGCCCTGCGTGCGGATTGCGCCCTCGCACACATCCCTGTCCTCGATCTGCGGGCGGGGTGAGCGGGTCGCCGGCGGGCGTGGAGACGGGGCACACCTGCATGTCGATGCATGCCGCGGTGATCGTCTTCACGAACGCGGCGTCGCCGAGGTGCGCGATGCTCTTGAAAGTCGGCAGGGCCGCGTGGCACGATGCGCAGTCGACGATGCTCGCGAGCGTGCGCTCAAGGCCGTCGAGAGGCCCCGCGGCAGCGAGCGAGGGAAACAGCAGCGCGGCGAGGGTGGCGGAGCGCATTGCGAGCATCGTTAGAGCGGCGGGGGCGGTAGAGAGAGGGACCTGTGTAGGCTGCGTGGGTGGTTGTAGCAGCGAGGTGCCCTACGCACTGGATGACCCCGACAGATGAGAAAAACGCTGGAGACCGCCGTGGGGACGCTGGGAGCTGCTGCGGAGTTGACCGTTACCAACGACTGGGTGGCTGTCGTCGTGGGTTGTGAGAGAGAGCGGCAGGCCGCCAGTGCATGGCTGATGTTTCAGCGGATGAAGTGAGCAGGCGAGGGATGGCATCTCGGAGCGACGCGCCTCGGCGTCCTCGACGCGGACTCTTTCGCTCCGGAGCGCCGCCATAAGTCAGCACCTTCCCACCTTGTTCCCACTCACCCGTGCCCTCCTCACTGGACGGTTACCAACCGTGCGACTGGCCGACTTTTCTCCAAATCTCAGAACTCCCGAGTGGTCGGTTTTGTTTCCTGTTCAGCTTCCGCCAGTGGAAACCGGATCCAGCAAAGCGACTGCATATTGCAGTGAGAGGACCGATTCCATGGCCCAAGATGGGACAAGCAGCTTGCGCAAAGAGGGGGAAACTACTCTATGAGAGCACGACGGCTCAGTGTACACGTCCGCAAAGAAACTATCAGCTACAAACATATCGTATGAACGAGCCTAGAGTGCACAGACAACACACCAAACTTGGAAGGAGAACTGCCTAAAACGTATCAATCTCGACGCGGCGCTCCTCAAGATGGATCCACAAAGACACCCTGCGACGCCGTCCCAGCACAGACAATTCTGACGCAAGCTCTGGTAGAACACAGATAGCGGTACCCATAAACAGAAAAACAAGATCCAAGAAAACAAGTAGAAGATACACACGAGATTCCCTATTACACAAACGACTTCTGACTAGCATGAATGCTGGCGGGCAACGGATATTAGATATATGTATGTTTTAAATTTGAGACCGGCATGTACAATTCACACCACTTGGAATGTATTTCCTTCGGCTTTTTACGCCTACATTCGGTTTCGTCTACACTTGGCCATTCCGCCACCGGTGGTCCGACCCTGGCAGTCGACAACCGGCGGTGTCTACCAAATGCATTGCAACCAGCCAAAACTTGCTAGATACAAACTGAACGGGCACGATATACAGGTGGCAAGGCGCGAAATACATACAGTGCGAACGGCGGGCAGCCAGGGCCCACACAACTACAGCGGAACGGGCGGGGGTATACCAATAACCAGATAGACACTGTCCAAGAAGAATAGATACGCGGAATGACACAGGGTATGGTGCGTGCCGGTCGTGGGGCATTTTCGTGCTCGGTATGGATCCGTGTCCGTCATAAATATGTCGTCGCGCGTCGTTTGCGAATCTCACCGTCCCGCGAACACCTTGCGCTTCGGGACCACCGCTGCGCTCTCCTCCTTGTCCACCCCCTTGTCCTCCCCGTCGCTCCTGCCTCGTGCACGCAAATTATCGACCACAGCAGGGATCTCCCCGCTCCGCACCAGATTATGCCAGAATAACACGTCGCCTGTCTGCATCCGCTGCGGGGGTACGCTGCTCTCCGCGGACGTAGATCCGGGTTCGTTCGGGACGTGGCTGGGTGACGCGGACGCAACAGGCGGGCTGTGCTGTGGCGGCGGCGCATCCAGGTCCATCAGCGGCGGCATTGACTCTGTGCTCGACGACGGAGACAGACTGCTTGCGCCTGGCGACTCCGTGTCGGGGGACGGAAACCGCGTCTCCCCGTCCGCACTCGGCGGCGACATGGGTTCTGGTGAGGGAATCGCCATCTGCAGCGGCATGCCTGACACAGGATCCCGCGCATACGGAGCCATGCGCGCGTTTGGCCGCCTCACGTACCACCCTGCGAGTTGTTGTGCTCCGCTGCTGACCATGGGTGGCGGCACGGGGTGGAAGGGTACCACGCCGCGCTCGCCTGCAAGATAATGACGCTCGCCGGCGGAAACCTCGGCCGAGTAGAACACGAATCGGTGTCCGTTCGTCGTCCGGTTGCTCAGCGAGATGGACGACGTGCACCGACGGCACGGACTGACGATCATGTATCCCACCGCGTTGCCGCAACTGTGGCAGCACAGTGTCTGCGTGAGGCACTCGCACGTCCGCGCGCCCCCGAGCTCAGAGCCGAACGGACTGCTGGACGTCGAGGCTTGCGGCGACGCGCTCTCGGGATCCAGTGGGGGCGAGTACGCAGAGCAGTTGACAGGGAGGGCGTCTGTTGAATACAATGCAACGTTCGGGCGGAGGAGAAGAACGGCCTACAAAATGGACGTTAGCGATAGGCAGCACAAGTAAAGCGGCATGCAGAGTGAGTACCGCGACTAGGCGCGGATCAGAATTCGGCCTGCGCAGAAGCGTTCAGTGTGATGCAGCGAGATGGGCATTGCAATCATGGGAACGGACTAATTGTGGAGGTAAAGTCCAGTACACTCCAGCATAAAAGTTTGGCTATCACAGAAGGGCCATGCTGGCGAGGCACATACAAACGGGCTTCAGAAGCAACCGATGTCCCACACCGCGAACAAATACCGCAGGATGTCCGGTGCGATCAGGCGAATTGAAGTTCATGAGAACGAACCGATAGCAGAAATAAGGTCAAGCCCTACGAAGTGCACTCCAACATGGTGGGTGTGCTCCGGAAGAATCGTGCTGATGAGCTGGCGGGATGGACCCCTTACGAGAGCTTTAAAAGCTAAACAGAAGCCAATCCATGTGATACAACATTGCCTTATCGCCGCACACAAATACCAAGATCGCGCGATCAGGCGAATGGGCGGGACAGAGGGCGACTAGAAGACAAATTCCGCGAAACCACACGCCACGCTGCAGCCCGGAGCGCGACTGGAGCATGGGGTGCCATCAGGAGGGATGAAAGACGGACTCACTTTCATGCCACGGTTTGTGAAGAATGTGCCACACGACTTGCAGTCGAGGATCCAGACTTTGTGTACGATCGGAGTGGGTGGCGAGGGCGGGGCGGGAGGCTGTATGCGGAGATGGGGATGCCACGGCGGGGGGACGACGGGGTGGTGGTGGACGTAGGGGGAGAGGATGACAGGGCTGTTGCCATAGTAGTAGCGAAGATGGTGGGGGTGGGGGATCGTCGGTGGAGCGTAGTGGTCGAAGGAGTAAGAGACGTGGGAGTAGGGGTGAGGGTGGGGAGGGGAGTCGCCGGGTAGGTCGAGGGGGACGACACGGAGAGGGGCGGAGACGGGGGATGGCGCGTAGTCGCCGTCGTGTGAGCTGAACCTGCGATCGCGGTGGATGCGGGCGGGTGGGGCCGAGCGGGGGTAAGGGTGGGACGGGGG